GTAAGCTTGACGTACAGCACTGGTAAGCATTCAAGTCAAACTGGCGATACATGTATATATGTGGAGAGCTGATGAAGCATAAGGGGCCATTTCAGCTATGTCAAGAAGAGGTTTTACAAAGCCGGAGTGGAAGCTTCTTTCCCTTCTGGAATTGGCTCGATGAGTAATAATCAGATTCAACCCTTGTTCTGTGCTGTGACTCAGCCCATCTGACTCACCTCCGCGTATGTCCGTTCTGGAAGACGTGCTAAAACTCTTCGCATTGAATGAAATCATTCATTAAGAAGAAAAATTACTCAAAATATACAGGTAATTCATCGTGTAGGAAGGGTGTGTGTGTTTCTGTCTGCTTGTCTGTTTGTGTGGAAGTACTGTATGTATGAAGAAATTTATGATAGGACTGTATATTTTATCATAAATATAACTGCAAAGGTTACTGAAAACATGTAAAGTTGATAATAGCATCGTCTCGTCCTCCTAGAGACGGTAAAAGTCCAACGGGAGGTCCGCCCCCTGCAACTGGCACCACATTTGCCTCGTGAGGCACAACGTAACAGATATCAGTAACATGTAAAATCTGAACAGCTTTGCCAGGAAGAAATCAGAGCTAAGTCTACTGAAATATACTACGAACGCGGAATGGCGTGATTCACTGAACTTCACGTGCAACTCAGTATCAGGAAACAGCAGTAACAAGATACAAGGACATTGCTTCTATTCAGCATAATATCGAGCTCCTCGCGTAGGCGGTTTACCCTTCGCCAGGCCTCCCCTCGCAGCCCGGCCTTCACCCGCCGCCTCCCGCGCTTCAGCTCGTAATCCGTCACAGAGCTGGCAGGAGCGCCACCTTCGCCCTCTCGCTCGCGGCACGGAGAGGTCTTGGTTAATCTCGGGCCTGCCGGCCTTTGCATTCTGCCACGGCATTCCGTGTCTAATGCTGGGAACTACCTTGAACATCTTCCGCCGCCTGTTTCCAGAAAATCGTTGAAAGTTACTATTTTCCGTCTCGTCCTAGTGACGCATCGCATTAATTTTGAGAAAATAGCAAGAATACGCCAAGAAAAATCACGAATCCTGGCTTCGTAAACAAATACACTACAGTAAGACCTGACGCGCAGGTGCTAATTCGGCGGTAACTTGCCTGTCACCTCATCTGTCACAGGTGGGCGTGACCGGTGCAGGTGAGGTGGTGACCCATGCTCGCCCGCCGCACAGCCTCACTCCATCACCGAACAGGCTGCTCTATCACCGCCCATTTGCTAGAGCGACTAATGTTAACATTGAAGAAAGTACCTTGATATCACCCATGTATGCTACTACACACTAATCCGAGGCCGCAAAGACACTCAGGAAGACCAAAATAATACATGAATGAAAGAAATGAAGAACTGTTTCACTTCTGTTCAGATTCTGGTCAGTTACAAAACAATGCAGAACATCATAAAAAAATGATTTCCTAAAGCCTTTATATTTTGTTTCCGCCGTCCCTCAGACATTGAGAAACCACATCCTATGCAACGTCTTCGCCTTTTCTTACGAGCGCCGATGGAGCCGTAATTGCTCCGCTCACTTCGTGGTCTGAGCATCGCCGCACTCGGGGCACAGGTCGTGGTCATGAGAACGCGGCGCCGGCCCTCGTCGCCGCCGACACTGCCTTCCCATGGCCACATTCCCACGTCTGGCGACAGAAGGCGTCGACCAGAACTTTTTCCAAAATCAGGTGACGTGTTTTTGTTTGATTATCTAGCAGCGTTGTCTTCAGTCATCACAAACGCCGTGCACGTACCAGAAGAACGGACGCTGCCTCCGGCGACGGAGTTTAAAGTAAATGCATCACCAAGCTCTGGCGCGACGCCGACTTTCGAGTCGAGCTGAACACAGCTATACATCACGGAATTAGTGATGCTTTCTTGTAAGTGAATCCTCGGGCAAGGAATTAAGGTCCTTAGCGCCAGACCGATTAGGCCCAGCGGGCGACTCCGCCCCAGGACCACCCAGCCGGCGGGGGGCGGGGGTACAGCGCAGACGATGCGAAGCTCTGGGTGTTTCATGCGTGTTGACAATTGAATTAATTTGATCACTGATAGAAATGCAGCGCAGCGTCACCCTTGGCATGCTCTTGTAGACACGTACTGTAAAGGACGGTCTTTGGCCAGAGTGGTGCGCCCTCCCCCGCGGGCCGAGGAGGCTCGGGGAGATGAGAGAGATAAGACGCTCAGTCGCCGACGGGGATCGGCTGGGCTCCTGTGGCTTGGTCGCGATATTCATGCTTTGCCTCCCCCGTTGCCGCTAAAACGTGAACACAAGACAGGGTTTTCGAGTCTTCGCTTCTACTCCCAGCGAAGGCACGTGCTGAGGTGAGACCGATATTTCAAGGCAACAGACCGACATCTCTGCTTCGAAATGCAAATGTCATAGAGCTTAGTGACAAAATTAAAGGAAAAGACCAAGGCTCCTCGGGGAAGCAGGACTGAAGCCGAGTCGGCCCCGACCCTCGGCCGACATCCGCCGCAAACATGATAGTTATCGCCTCAAGGGGAAGGAGGGACAGGTGGTGGTGGTGGGGGGGGGGGACCATCCCAACACTTACACGCTCTCCTCCGTCCTCGCTTTCACTGGCGGAGGATCTGCTCTTTGTTCGGTAGTAGAGATAAACCAACATGCTTTTACAAGTGAATATAAATAGGAAACTACACGTTATCGCATGAGTACAGCAATAATAAAAGATGTGCGTATGTAAGTTTCGCTTACACACACACACAAACATACATACATACACACACACACACACACACACATACATACACATACACACACACACACACACAAACACACACACACAAACAACACAACAACACACACACACACACACACAACACACACACACACACAACACACACACACACACACACACACACACACAAACAAACACACACACACAAACACACACACACGCACAAACACACACACACACACACACACACACACACACACACACACACACACACACACACACACACACACACACACACACCCATGAGGCAGCGAGGGTCCGGGCCGGCAACCAGGGCGCGGCACAGGTGATGGGACACGGAACTTCGCACAGGTGGCGCGGCTCGACAAAGGCTTCGTGATGGCAACAGTTGTTTACAGATAAACACACCAACCTTTCATCACACTTGGTGTAGGAACGAATTAAAAAAAAAGATCACCA